GGATTGTAGTTGCATCTTTTCATCTTCAAGCTTGCTGACCTTCTCTGACAACTTCTTAAGTTCAGCTTTTACATCCCTTTGCTCCTCCGCGAGAAAATCTGTCGTTACGGTGAACTCCGATTTTAGTTTGGCTATTTGATCACTAACTTCCGTCCTTATTGTTCTGGTTAAAGATGCTTGAAAACTTTGCAGTTTAGTATCCAACTTCAAATCTAGAAGTCTCGAGAATTGGTCCAATGTGATACTTGCAGCGGGAGTACACCCGGATGATGTGGGTGTATTTTCAACTGTGTCCATGATTGGTCGACTATTTTCGACAGTGGTTTCACTAATCGTGAGGTTTTCGCAGGACATGTTAGATTCATCCATGTTTTCTAGTTGTTTTCGAACAGGCGTATTGCAGTTGTTTCCCTTTCTCCTAGTTATGTTGTTGCAAAGTGGACATATCCAGGACCTTCTCAGTTCGCCCAGGTTAGCCTTGTAATAAGATTGAGTTATGTTCAAGCATCTATAATGATAGTGTGTCATACACTGTATGCATTGGAGTATATCCTCGCCAGTAATTCGATTACGACACGCTTCACAATTCATAATGATTAAGTTCAAAGTTCAAAGATATTTATATTCAATGATAATTTTTGTTTACGAACTATATTAGAGTACTTTTTCAACGATAACTTGGGAGCGCAACTAAACTAAACACATCTTGCTTCTCTGACTACTCAACATAAATTTGAATTCAAATTTAAGCTTAAAACATACACAAAAAGTCAAACTGTGCAGGTTAGACTCGATCTTGCGGCCTCAATTAATCTGCTCGAGTGCGTAGCCTATACGCCACCGTTACATCTTACTTTTGCTGCCAAAATAGTGGTTCTATTACAAAGAAATACGAAATCATAGATTCGTTATGAGCGTTTTGTATTTGTTTGAAAATTTTTCTCCAACCGTCACTTTAAATCACAAGTACAAAGTTTTTAAGTTTTTAAAGTATTTATTGTTTTATATTTTTGTTTTTATTTATGTCACTGTTTATCAATTTATATAAGATGTATTTAGTATTATTTTGGGATGTAATAGCACATATGGGTTTTATTGCTGCTAATAGTTCACTGTAATATTCACAATAATGCAGACTGATTTGCGTAATATATGTCTTGATAACACTCTCACATACGTATTGAATAGTTTTCTCCACTTTTTTGGTAAATCTAATACGATACAGTTGAATAACTATTTTTAAACAATTAAATTACGGGAGCACAATGTTCACATGACAGTATCCGCACTAGCTTACACACACATCATCTTTAGGCTTAGCCCTAATTGAGTCTGATTTTTTCTTATTTTTAACCATTTTTATTTTATTTCCAATCTATATCTATAAGATGTATAAATATATCTAATTTACGTGACCAGTATATTAATCATACATTGATCTTTCTAAAGGTTTAAATATAGGCCGTTTAATAAATTTATGGCGTGATCGTCTTAGTTAGGACCCTTATTTACGTTGTGTTTGTATAGTAACTTAGTTCTTTTAGGTGTATCTTGGAAGAATGAATATTCACGAGAGCAATCGAAAGCTGTTGGTAGCGTCTTATAAACTAAAGAACCCCGTTTACGAAGACAGAGCTCAAAAAGGTTAAGAACAATAAATTGTCCCTATTCCACTTGTATCTGGTTCACAACAGTCAATTCCTTATTAATTAATCCCTTCCCGCTTGGAAAAGGCTCACAATATTTATATCAAATACCAGTTACAAGGGCTTCGCTCTCCCACATTTTAAAAAAAATGTGGAGGAGGTACACGGCTCCGCACACGCCGTGTATGGTGAGCGCTAACCATTTTAAGACATTTTTAAATGTCTTTATAATGAATTTAATTATTATTTATTAATAATAATTATGAGGCGTCACAATATCTACGCAGTGTCAGTGAGTCAAGCTGATCGGAAAGAACTCAGTCGTCCACGATTCGAACCGCTCTGCGCTGGATGCGGTCAAGTGGAAGGAGCTGGCACTAGGGAGCCCCTGCACTAGGGAGCCTCTGGGAACAGTATTCCATGTGAGGCCGAACCTGCGCCTTGTAAAGTTGCAAGCAGTGTGCCGGCATGAAATACCGTCCCGCTCTGCTGAGCACGCCAAGCTTTTTAGAGGCCAATTTGGCCTTATCTTCCAAGTGACCACGAAACTACACGTCACTCGATATGTTGATACCGAGGATTACGATAAGGGCTGAGGCAACACGGGGGGAGTACCTTGAAACTGAGGAGATACGACAAAGGGGCTCTTTTTAGCGGTAAACGCGCAAGCTTGTGTCTTCTGGGGATTGAACTGGACTAGATTTAGTCGCCCCCAATCCGAGACTTTGTTCAGCAAAGACTCGACTTCAGACACATGTTTGTTCCGGTACTCGGCGACGTTTTCCCGAGAAATATTGGCACGGCCGGTGTATAAAGCATCACCAGTGCTGTCGTCTGCATAGCAATGAATGTTACAGGTTTGCAACATATCATTGATATGCAGAAGAAACAGCGTTGGTGGGCTCGTAATCGGAGCATGCACCGTCTACTGTGACCTTGATGCTCTGATCTGCAAGAAAACTGGTGATCCAATTGCACAATTTCTCGAAAAGGAAGGCTTCGAAAGAAGCGCTTTGTGCCAGACCCGATCGAAGGCCTTTGCTATGTCCAAACTAACGGCAAAGCCTCCCCCTTAACTCCACTGCCTCCGCCCATCTATAAGATAGGTAACCTAAAAGATCACTTGCTGAGCTACCTCGATGGAAACCGTACTGGCGGTCACTAATGTGATACTTAAGGTACCACATGAGCTGGCAGTTAATAATGCTTTCCATTACTTTGAAGAAAAAGGAGGTGATAGCGATAGGCCTGTAGTTGGACGGATCTGAGCGGTCGCCTTTTTTTAAGGATTGGGTGCACCAAAGCTGTCTTCCATGAGTTCGGGCCTACACCTAGGGAGTAGGAGTACAGGAAAAGACGCGTTAAAAACGATATGAGTCCATCGACTTGTTCTGTAAACAGCACTTCCTACATGGTAGAGCCATGCTGCAACTATATTTCTGGTATAGTTGTAACACGAATGGGTCGGCTCGACCGGGGAAGGACCACGCTCTCACAGAATACCAGCGTAAAATAGCAGCTTAATGCTGCTGTGTTTCGTATGGTGACTGTAGAGAACCGGAGACCCTTTTTATTGGAAACGAGGCATTCCATCTTAGTCCTCACGCGTGACAACGCATCTGCATTTTGATTCGTAATTGAGGATAAATATAGATGTCTATGGGCCACAGCAACCACTCACCATCCGGTGGACTGTGTTCTCGTTTGTCACCCTTATCCAATAAAAAAAAATGTAGCACTCACACCGCGGGATGGTTGGCGGTGTGAGTGCTATGTGTGAGTGCGGTGTGTTTCCCCCGTCATCTAGAGTCGAGTTGAAAGCAAAAAGAGAGCCTAGCAGATCGGCTTTCTCCTTTGCGCCATGGGCCAGTGAATCGTCCACCATGTGCAGAAATGGCAGAGATGGCTGACAGAAGTTTCCTTGGACAGCCTTGGCGAGAGTCCAGAATGCATGTGTTCCCGAAGGGAGGCGAACTAGTTTCTCGCCAATTCTGCCGATGTGCTCAGACTTTATCTTGGCAATAACACCTGGAGGCGGAATTAAACTTCTTTTTAAGAGCGCTGGTATTTACATCCCGGGACGTTGATGTGTCAGCCCAGGCCCGGTAGCACTCCTACTTATAGCGTGATGCAATTTTACAGGAGTGACCAAACCACGGCTGTGTTCTGCCTCCGATAGGCACAACAGACAGATGATGGAATAAATAATTCCATCCCCTGAAGTACCACATCAGCGACAGAATCAGCAACAACGTTGGGATGGGCAAAACTGCCCCCAGGGGTAGGATGCAAAAAAAGTCCGCATCCCGTTCCAGTCGGCCGACCTATAGTGCCAAACACGGCGGCAAGCTGCAGATCGCAACTGCGATGGTAGCGTGAGTGGCACCGTACTCCGGATCAGACAATGGTCCGAAGAGCCAAGAGGGGCATCGACGGAGACCTGATATCTGTCGGGATGAAAGGTCAGCAGAAAGTCCAACAGGGAAGGTACATGATCCTCCACATCTGGGATTTGCGTAGGCGAAGTAAACAGTTGTGTCAGACCATATGCCAAGGCAAAGTCATAAACAGATCTACCCGCATGATCGGTGGAACGGGAACCAAGCCATTCAGCGTGGTGGGCGTTAAAATCATGGTTTACCGCTATGGGACCTACAGAAACACCCATAGACGCCGGGATGGTCGTCGCTGTCTACGCGCAGCCATAGGATGGACAGTTCCGTACCTTCAAGACTGCCGAGGCGTCGAAAACAGATGTCCTCTCTGACGTACATGCAAACTCCTGCCCGGGGCACAAAGGAGTGTCCTAATTTGTACCCCAGGTAGGAGAGATACGAAGTATCAGTCGGAGAGGACACCTGTGTCTCGGTTAGAAAAAGCAAGGCCGGCTTTGCCGTCTCCAGATGGTAGTGGATGGCGTTAAGGTTTGAATGAAGTCTGATATTGCCCCCCCCCCCCCCCCCCCCTATTGTCCTACAGCCCCGCGTATTCGGGGGGGGGGGGGGGAGCAGAATATGCAGGGCAGTCGGACCACCCACGCTAAAAAGAAGGGTAGCTTGGGCGTGGATGCTCAGCGAGAGATGCTGTTGTTGCGAGAAATTTCTTCCATAATGAAAATACAATTTTTATTATTTTATTTAAATGTAAAATTTTTAGTGTGAGAATTTCAACATAATATTAAAATAAGGATATTTTTAAAACTACTAGTCTTAGTATAATAAATCCCTTTCACCAACATAACATTGGTCCACTATTTAAAGGACATGCTGTAGATAAAACTTTAAGCAAAATTATTTCAAAATTCAAAAGTAGTTGGATCGTGTTGAATGATGAGTGGTGGTGGTGGTGGTGCAGGTACCACAGCGGCGCGAGGCCTTACGCGTGTGCGGCGTGCGGGCGCGGGTTCGTGGCGCGCGGCCTGCTCACCGTGCACCTGCGCACGCGCTGCACCGCGCCGCCGCCCGCCTAGTACCACCAGGTATACTAACCACCAGGTACTGCTCACGGTGCACCGTGCCGCCGCCCGTCTAGCACCACCAGGTATACTAACCACCAGGTACTGCTCACGGTGCACCGCGCCGCCATCCGCCTAGCACCACCAGGTATACTAACCACCAGGTACTGCTCACGGTGCACCGTGCCGCCGCCCGCCTAGCGCCATTAGGTATACTTACCACCAGGTACTGCTCACGGTGCACCGTGCCGCCACCCGCCTAGCGCCACCAGGTATTCTAAACCACCAGGTACTGCTCACGGTGCACCGTGCCGCCGCCCGCCTAGCGCCACCAGGTATACTAACCACCAGGTACTGCTCACGGTGCACCGTGCCGCCGCCCGTCTAGCACCACCAGGTATACTAACCACCAGGTACTGCTCACGGTGCACCGCGCCGCCATCCGCCTAGCACCACCAGGTATACTAACCACCAGGTACTGCTGACGGTGCACCGTGCCGCCGCCCGCCTAGCGCCACCAGGTATACTTACCACCAGGTACTGCTCACGGTGCACCGTGCCGCCACCCGCCTAGCGCCACCAGGTATACTAAACCACCAGGTACTGCTCACGGTGCACCGTGCCGCCGCCCGCCTAGCGCCACCAGGTATACTAACCACCAGGTACTGCTCACGGTGCACCGTGCCGCCGCCCGTCTAGCACCACCAGGTATACTAACCACCAGGTACTGCTCACGGTGCACCGCGCCGCCATCCGCCTAGCACCACCAGGTATACTAACAACCAGGTACTGCTCACGGTGCACCGTGCCGCCGCCCGCCTAGCGCCACCAGGTATACTTACCACCAGGTACTGCTCACGGTGCACCGTGCCGCCGCCCGCCTAGCGCCACCAGGTATACTAACCACCAGGTACTGCTCACGGTGCACCGTGCCGCCGCCCGCCTAGCGCCACCAGGTATACTTACCACCAGGTACTGCTCACGGTGCACCGTGCCGCCGCCCGCCTAGCGCCACCAGGTATACTAACCACCAGGTACTGCTCACGGTGCACCGTGCCGCCGCCCGCCTAGCGCCACCAGGTATACCATCCACCAGGTACTGCTCACGGTGCACCGTGCCGCCGCCCGCCTAGCGCCACCAGGTATACTAACCACCAGGTACTGCTCACGGTGCACCGTGCCGCCGCCCGCCTAGCGCCACCAGGTATACTAACCACCAGGTACTGCTCACGGTGCACCGTGCCGCCGCCCGCCTAGCGCCACCAGGTATACTAACCACCAGGTACTGCTCACGGTGCACCGTGCCGCCGCCCGTCTAGCACCACCAGGTATACTAACCACCAGGTACTGCTCACGGTGCATCGCGCCGCCGCCCGCCTAGCACCACCAGGTATACTAACTACCAGGTACTGCTCACGGTGCACCGTGCCGCCGCCCGCCTAGCGCCACCAGGTATACTAACCACCAGGTACCTACTGCTCACGGTGCACCGTGCCGCCGCCCGTCTAGCACCACCAGGTATACTAACCACCAGGTACTGCTCATGGTGCATCGCGCCGCCGCCCGCCTAGCACCACCAGGTATACTAACCACCAGGTACTGCTCACGGTGCACCGTGCCGCCGCCCGCCTAGCGCCACCAGGTATACTAAAGTAGTGTAGTTGTACCACTTCTAGACCACCTGAGTCAGACGTAGTTCAACGACGTTCGTCGACGCCCGATCCTAAAAAAAAAAAAAAAAAAGAAAAAAAAAAAAAAAAAGGTTTTGGCATGCTCTGATCACGAATCCGCGGTCCATTTTTGTGTAGAATGCACGGTTCCAGAGATGTGTAGATCAATTAGCTAATATCTTATTGATATCCGGTAAGGGCCTCCACCGTCATTAGCGTCCCATTGTTCCTATTTCTATTGTTCTATTGTTCATTAATCACCTTCATTGCAGCGTGTGCGTCGACTATACCAGTGCTATTGTATTATAATTCTTTGTTTATACAACACTAATCTGAATCATCAATAAAACACATTACATAATTTTGTTACAATTTTTATTTATAAAATACAAAATCTTATTAATTATTATCTATAAAATAGGAGCGAAACATCTCATCCACTAAAATATCGTTGTACAATGTGTTCCTTGTAAATATACTCGTAAAACTATGTATTGAACATCCTTGAAACTTATATAGTAAATACATTAAGCAATATTCGCCACAAACTGAAGTCCACTCATTCTGAATCCTATCAACATTCCAGTTCCATCTTTTACAATTCCTTTTTAAAAACTCTAGATGATATCGTACAGGTGATCGTCCATATGAATCAAAATATTGACCGACGTCATTCGTATCGATATATAAAGCTACCCAATGTGACCCTGGTTTATCATCTGTATCCAAATTACATATTATATACGTTGGTACGTGGGTATACATAGGCAGTCTATTAGCTGCATAAACATTATTTTCTAGACTGGGGTGAATCTTTTTCAGATGTTGTTGTACATCTAGTGTATCCATGATATTACTGCTATTAGTAGATTATTACAGTACCTAGCTACTCAATGAATAACATAGGAATGGTCAATTATAGTGATTTCTACATATTAAATTGCATTTTTGTGATATACAAATCGTACTTGAGTCATTGATCACCAAACAAAACACAATACGAAGAAATGTTGAGATAGGCAACGGAAATGTGAGATAAACTGATATGTTTCTAAATATTAAATTGCATTTTTGTGTTATACAAATCGTACTTGAGTCATTGATCACCAAACAAAACACAATACGAAGAAATGTTGAGATAGGCAACGGAAATGTGAGATAAACTGGTTGACGCATAAAGTAATTATCAACTCATTACGGAAATACTTTAGATTAGAATTTTTACGTACTGGTGGGATATAAGACCAACAAATGCAGTCATCGAGTTAGTGTACGGTCGTTTGGCTACAGTGGATCTATCAATAGTACATTTGTGTTACTTCAATACACCAAAGGCTATGGATGTAAGTGTTTATTCTATTGACTAAATTACTTTTTTTCTGTTATTTTCATGTGTGTTTATTATTTTATTTAAATATTGTGTATGTATATGATTAAGCCGTGGTAACTCAGATGGTTAGCGCTAGCTGTAAATTTCACAGTACGCGACCCGGGTTCGATCCCCGCCAGCACCAATTAAATTGTTAATAGCAATTTTAAGTGCTTATTACCACGTGCTTGGTGGTGAAGGAAAACATCGTGAGGAAACCTGCATGTCTGAGAAAATTTCGAAGGCATGTGAAGTTCGCCAACACACATTGAGGGAGCGCGGCGGACATTTCCTTGCTCTAAAACCCTCTCAGAAATGAGAGGAGGCCTATGTTCAGCAGTGGACTTTAATAGGCTGTAACTTTAACTTTTTTAACTTTTATGATTAAGTGTTAACAAATTGATATTAACATGATAACTGTGTTGTTGCAGAAATCATTGAGCTTCGATGAAGATACCTATAAACAGTATTACTACTCGCCACTCTCCCCTCAAGAAGAGAGTGATAACCTCGTCATTAATAATAACACATGCGATGGTGGAAAAAGAAAATCGCAATCGATTGATCATTTTTTTGAAGCTGAATCAAAAATAAAAAAGAGGAAGCTGTTATCATCAACCGTAGCACGAGCCGCTAGAGATGGTGTATCATACATTTCTACTAATTCTGACGACGGAGACCAAGCGACGCATCTCATCAAAATTGAAATGTACGATATGAAGAAGCTATCCAAGATTCCAACTACTGATCATTGGAAACATGCTTCCACGAGAATTAAATATTACGTAAAGACTAATAAGGATAGCATCTACGACAATACAAACGCCCTCGTATACAATATAACAAAGACAATAGCAGAAAGTGAAAAAGTTAAAAAATACTTTTTTAACAATGACAGTCATTAGCTGATCATTAGTGAATGTGATTCTGTTTACTTCAATTACTGGAAGACAAGAGCGGAAGGAAGAGATAAGTGTGGCATACGTGTACAAAACACATCATTGAATAACAAAACTACAACACTGAGTGGAGAAGAAAACGAGAAGAGTATGCAGTACTCAAGAGCTGAATATCCATTCTTCAGTTCAAAATCTAGCCGTTTGCTTAGTTTCGAAAACTGGCCTCTAGTTATGCGACAGAAACCTGAAGATCTTGCCGAAGCTGGTTTCTTTTATACTGGCCATGCAGACGGGACCAAGTGTTTCCATTGTGGTGGTGGTTTAAAAGATTGGGAAGATGATGATGATCCTTGGCAGCAGCATGTTCAGTGGTTTAGTCAGTGTGCTTATGTAAAATTTCAACTCGAACAGTGTTTTGTATTAGATTAAATAGAAGATTTATAAAGAAATAAAAAAAATATATTGCATACAATTTGTTTTATTTAATTTTATAACGTTTCACATAGTTACATACACACAAAATGCATTACACATAACACATAAAATCTAACACACAACACATATTATAACCTTAACTACTATAGTCTACAGTAACATTTCTGTTTTTATCTATCTCAATAATATTATCAAACTCAGCATAAACTATACAGTTAATTGTTTGTATTAATGAGGATTCAAATCGTACTTCTATTCTTACACTACCATGCTTTATGAGATTCCAATGAGTTGATGAGTTAGCTGATAAATCAGGAGTTAAGTCAAATGCTAATAGACAGTAACCTTTGCCATACTGTTCACAAGAGATTCCATTTCCTTCATTAAGAAAGTGAATACCAGTTTCCGAGAATAGAGTATGATATGCTGATGTAAATATGCTATTATTAAAAGATGGTTGCAAAGCTTTTGAAGGTATTTGTTGACCATCAATATATAAGCTGAAAGAATTAATACCATAGTTTTCAAAGTTAAATGGATTTTTAGTAAGGGAACCATTAAATGCAGAATTGTTCACAAATCCAATTATACATCTTTTCGGTACCTGTCCTAAAAATATATTATCAAGAGTTTTTCCTTGAA